GAAGCCCCATCTGGTGTCTTCAGGCTTGGCCTTGCCGCCGCAACGCTGGAGGCACTCGGCCCCGTGAGGCCTCTGTTCGGCGTGCATCCATCCTAGCGCTCGTGTGGCCCCGCTGGCCCCCGCCTGTGGCGGCTGCGGGGCTTGGTGCGAGGCGGGGGTTGGGGGGGTTGGGCGCGCTCCGTGGTCCCGCGAGGGGGGGCTGCAGGGTGCGGCCGACTCTGGTCTCCGCTTGGTGTAGCCCTGGAGCCTCGCCCCCCCTGGCGGTGTTTTCCGCTCCAGGCTGACGCCTTCTGCCCCCAGGCGTTGGTTTGGGATTTTGGGCGGTCTGGGCATCGTTATAAGCGGATCGGTCGGTGTGCCGATCCACCTCCCTGGGCCTTCAGGAGCCCCTGAGGTGCCCCCAATTCCTCCCCCTCCCGTTCCTTCGGGTTCGGTTGGGGCTGATGGACTTGGACCGTCCTCGTCCTGGTACTCCCCCTCGTCCGTATTCTGCTCCTCTTTCAGCTCCTCCGCCCTCCCTTTCGGGCCCCCGTCAGTTGTCCCATGATCATGAATTAGCGCAGGCGGCCCTTGGTTCAGCAGTCCCACTGTGCCATCCGGGCGAGGGGCCCAAACCTTCGCAGCTTCTGGTAGCTTTGATGATGAACCTCCCTGCGTGGTTCTACCGAGCGGGTGCGATCTGCGCGGGGGGCATGCCAGGAAGCCGCAGAAGCCACCATGCAAATGCGCCCGCTGAGGCCGCAGTCAGGTGGAGCTCCTGCGTTCCGCACGAGGGGTGCGTCGACATGCGCGATAAAGCGCCATGCGGATTCTGGCAGCGGCGTTTCGGGTGGGTTGGCCACGAAACACCGTGCGGGGTGCGGCGAAATGAGCGCGGTTGCGCCAGGCGGACTTTCCCATTGGGGGCGGGAGGCAACAGGCGCAACGCCGCGCGTGAGGGGTGTGCCAGAGTGGGCAGAGCCGGCGCCGCGCGGACGTTCTGGTGGGTTTAGCTGGAGCTCCCTGTGGGGCCACGGGGCGCGCTAGGGGTGTGGTGCTCAGCCCCGGGGCCCTAGACAGCTCTCCGCTTCGAGGCAACACCCCTCGGCGAGCAGACGCGCAGGCGGCCGTGGTCAGAAGCTAAGGCGGCTCGGAGCTTGTCAGGCCCCCATATGCCGCCACGCTGGTTCCGGGCAGGCTGTGCTGTCCAGCGGAAGGGGACGAGGAGGGGAGAAGCAGGCAGACGACGACGACGAACGCCCAGGCGGGAGGCCAGGGCCGGCGGGGCGGGCGGGCAGGCAGAAGACGGGCCAGGCGGAGACAGCAGGCAGGGAACAGGAGGAAAGGAAAGGAAAGGGAGGGCAGCAACGAGCAGAAGCGAAGGGAGGGGGAGGAGGGGGAGGAGAAAAAGAGGAGAGAAAGCAGCGGCCGCAAGCAGACAGGCCAGGCCAGGGGCCGGGAGAGAAGAGCCGCCCGCGACGAGGCTACGGACCCTACGGCGGCGACCTGGGCGGGGTGGCCGCCCGAACCCAGCGCGATGCGGCTTGGTGGGGATTGCCCTCTGCGGTATCCATCCGCCGCCCCGCCGGGGAAAGGCCCGGCGGCGCGAGGGAGGGGTCGCCGGCGCGACGTTGGCGAAAGGGCGCGGGGGGCGCCCGCGCTGCCCAGCAAGGGCGGGGAGGGGGGGGGGGCGGGGGGCGCTAGGCAGCGCAGGGGGCACCTCACACGGCGTCTGCCGTGGAGGCCGCCGTGGCCGCGGCCAGGCGGGCCGCTGCCACCCCCGCCCCTCCAGACAGGGTCTGAAGGCGCCGCAACACCGCCCGCGCGTTCTCCCTGTGCAGGGAGACGGAAAGTCGCTGGGCATGTTGGTCCGCAACCAGTGCGGCGTCTTCCCCCGTGGCGTCAGCCACCCGCTTGGCCAGGACCCCGAAGGCCCTGCGTGCCTCGCGGCCCCACCCGCCGCCGTGGGCTTCCACCACCATGGGGAGGAAAGTGAAGCCCTGTGCCGCGCAGAGCCGCGCGGTGTCCTGGTGCTGCCTTTTGAACTCCTCGTACCGCTCCGTCGCTGCGCTTGACGAAGCGGCCGACGCGGCGAGGAGATCGGCGCGCAACCCTGACGTGGCGGCAAAGTCCCAGGCGGCCGCCGTGCCGTTGCGCCACCGCGGCAGGTAGACGTCGGCAGGGCGGCGGCCGTTGTCGTCCACCTGGGGCCCGCCCTGCTCGCCCCCGGGGGTGGCCTCCCCGGCGGGGCGCGCGGGTAGCAGCCCCGGGCGCTCCAACTCCGCCCCGGCGTGGCCGGCGGCCAGGGCGTCGAAGAAGGCCTGGTTGCGCAGGGCGTTGTGGCGTTTGGTCCGGTCGCCGCGGCAGGCGCAGACCAGGGCGTGGTCGCAGAAAACGTCCATCACCTCGCCACAGGCTGGGCAGAAGCACTCCTCCTGCAGGAGCTGGACTCGCAGCCGCCTCTGCAGGCCGACCTGCATGAGGCCGTGCGGGAAGGCGGTGCCGGTGGCCTCGCAGGGCGGCGCCTGGAGCCACGCGGCCGCGCCTGGGGCTTGCACCAGAGAGAGGTGCGCCTTGCCGGCCAGGGTGGAGCCCGCCAGAAGTCCGTCGAGCGAGGCGCTGTCCACCGCGTCGGAGAGGGCCTTCTGGTTGCCGTGCTGCGCGTGGTCGAACGCCACCCGGTCGGCGTCCCGCAGGACTGCGTTGTGGGCCTGCGCCGCAGCCGCCAGGCTACCTCCGTCGCGGTCGGGGTTGTTGGAGTAGCCGGGGTAGAGCTGCCGACAGAGATCGGTGCTCTTCGCTCTGGAAGCGATGTAGGCGGCGGCGGCGTGCTTCGCGGCAGAGCGAGCGCAGGCCAAGTCCTCCCTTCCTGAGCTTTAGCTGAGCCTGCTGCCAAGAAGCGTCGGAGGGCGAGCAGCCGCTCAGTTGCTCAAGGCAGGCCCGGACAGCGTCGTCCATGGCCAGCAGTGAGGCGGCGTGCGCGGTGGGCGGCACCACGCGCGCGGAGTAGCCCAGCTTGCAGAAGGAGGCGCACTGGCGCAGGAGATGCAGCGCGACCTGCGCGTTTTCGAGCTCCCCCAGAGCTTCCAGCAAGTCGGTGGCGCTCGCGACCCGCTGCTTGGTGTGCTCTGCTTGGTGTGACTCGCTAGGGGTGTGGTGAATTTGGCGCAAACGTGTCATGCGGATCCTCCTGGGCTTCAGGCGAGGTCTCCCACGGGGCCACGAAACGCGCTAGGGGTGCGCAGACTTGGACAGAGACGGCGTTATGCAACTCATTGGGTCTTTGGACGTGTGAGGGATGTGCCGAAATGCGGCGGCGGCGCCATGCGAATCTGCCCACCAAGACTGGGGTGGAGCTCCCTGCGGGGCCACAGCGTGCGTCAGGGACGGGCCGAAATGAGCGGCGGCGGCATGCGAACATGCACATGGAGACCATCGGTGGAGCCCCCTCTGTGGGCGCGACGCCCAGAATGAGGCTGCGGCGCCATGCGAACGTGCCCGCTGGAGCCATCGGATTAGCCTTTCTGAATTCACGCTGCGTGCGGGGAGGGGGCCGAAGTGTGGCGGCGGTGCCCTGCGAACGCGCCCCAGGTTTTCCTTCGGCGGAGCTACCGCCGGGACCCCGAAACGCGTGAGGGTGTGGCGGAACGAGGCGCCGGCGCCATGCGAAAATGCCCGCTGAGACTGCCGGTGCAACGCCCTGTGGGGTCACGGCGTTTAAGAGGCGTGCGCCGAAGTGATGCGGCGGCGCTTTGCGAGCCTGCCAGCTGCGCGCCCTATGTGGGGCCGAGGAGCTCACGAGGGGTGTGCCGAATTGAGGCGGGGGCGCCATGCGAATATGCCGCCGAGACGGTCAGCGGTGCCCCCGATGGGGCCACGAACCGCTCGAGGGGTACGCCGAAATGAGGCGGAGGTGCCATGCGAACGTGCCCACTGAGTCCGTCGGTGGTATTCTCCATGGGGCCAGGAAGCACGTGAAGGGTGAGTGGAGGCGGAGGCGCGGGGCGAGCATGCCAAGCAATTCCGTCGGTGTAGGCAGCGTGTAGCAGCGGCCGCGTAGAATGTTTGTCCACTCGTGCCTTTCTGCCGCCCTCTCCCCCGTGCGCGGGGTCCCCATGTCGCCCACAGCGTGGCCGTGGCGGGTAGGAGGCGAGTCCAGCTCTGGCGTTCGCGCTGCGCAGCAGCAGGAGCTTCCCCAGCGGACGGGCCTGCCGACCCCTAAGGACCCATCGAAACATCATCGAAACGGCATCGGTCGGCGGCATGGGCGAAACCCCTCTTGGCATGCTTGGTGCACGCTTTCTCCCCCTTCTGGCCGCGGCTCCCCGCAGCGATCGGGAGAGGTGGGCTCGCCAGGCTGCTCGAGGGGCGGCCGCCCCAGCCTGGCACGGCCTGGCTCCCGGACTGGGGTCTGGACAGCAGCTGCATTGGCCGGGCAGGCTCGGGCCCTCACGGTGCCACCGACGGTGGCGGTGGGCTGTAGCAAAAGCGTCCGAAGACGATCCCTTCCTCCTGCTGCTGCTGTTGTTCCTCTTCTCGGGAGGGAGAACAGAAACACACACACGCACACACACACACACAAGTCATCGTCAATTTCTCAGGACAGATGAAAAAATATGGGAAGTGGGGGGAAGACGAAACTCAATAGCATCTGCAACAATGCGGGGAATCCTGGGATTCGTGTCTTATTTATATATATATAATATATATATATAATATATATATATATATATATGTGTGTGTGTGTGTGTGTGTGTGTGTGTGTGTGTGTGTGTGTGTGTGCGTGTGTCCCTGGGCCCCTTCATCTTCGTCCTCTTTCGCCCCCCTCCTCCACATACCCGCCCTCTCATCTGCTCTCCTGCTGTTGCTCCTGCTCTTCCTCCCTGCTCCCCTCCTCCCACCTCCTACCCCCTTCCTCTGCATTCTGTCTCTCCTAGCGCTCGTCCTTTTCGTTTTCTCTTCACCAGAATTGTGTTGTTTTTCTTCCCTGGTGGGCGGAGGGGGATTATGCCTCCGCGCAGGCGATGGGGACGTGGGACGGTGACGAGTCGATCCCGCAGGGGACGTATGACACCTTATTGGAGGTGAGGTTGGGGCACAATCCGAGTTGGCATTACCGTGTCAGTGTATCGTCTTGCTTTGATCCCTGGGGGGCTGGGTGCAGTCACATTCCGAAGTTCTTATCCAGTGTTTTCTCAAGGTGTCTCCCTCATATCCTTGCCTCTTCGGCACATCGTTTGCCGTATATCGGAAGCGTGCTGCCATGATGCCGCTGTCATTGTTTCAGCGTGGACGTCTACAGGTGATGTATTCTTCTCCTGGATCCTTCCCACGGAGTTGGATTGTAAGATCCATCAGCTGGGTGCAGAAACATTTCCCAGAGGGTACGGCTCCATTGGGAGTGACATGTTCGCGCGTTTGTCCCACGGGCCCCGCCGCCGTTGGTCTGAGTTGCCGTGGAAGACCGCAGAAGAGGATGCTCGCGTAAGGCCGTGCCTCAGGGATGGTGGGCCTGTCCTGGCCGCATCTCCCGCCGCTGACCCGAGGTTGCCGCTCAAAAGCCCCGCAAAAGGCACCTCTCGCAAGACTGTGCTTGGGGGATGGTGGACTAGCCCCAGCATCCGCAGAAGGCGGCTATGCTCAGGCGATGGCAAACATGGATCAAGGGGGCGTGGATTAACGTAGGGTCCCGCTTCCATTGGAAATCGCGGGTTTCCGACGCCGAACGATGCGGCACCGGGCGCATTTTGGGGAGGGTATCTGCCCCGATCCATGGATTTAGTGACCGCGCGCCAAATCCATGGATCGCTAATCCATGTTTGCGCGCTGCCGATATACACCACGATCATTGCTGCCCAGGACCATCCTGGGCCCCTGGACTGTGTGACCCCTCCTGGACTCGGCGGCCAGCAGGGCACATGCGTCACCCTGGGGCCCACGATGTACCTGGCTAGGGATGGTGATGGTGTATAGCCGACTTAGGCGGACCTCAGGTATTCGCCCACTGCGGGCTCGTCACCAAGAGCCACCCCTACGACGCAGCCATTGTGAAGGTGGCCGAGTGAGGCGAGCACGCCACGCCCGCCTAGCTGTGCGGAAGTCTGCAGCCCTCTCGATGACCGCCCGCCCTCGTGGTTTTCAAAAGAAAGCGTTTGCGCACTCCCGTGCCATTCCCTGCCTTTGGCAGTACTCCCCCAGTTTCCATGAACGCTGGCAGGTTGAACCACTTGGAGCCGTTCACTGAGCGTGGGGAAGTGGATCGTGTGCAGGGGGTTGGAATGGGCTGGCGGTCTCCGCGGGCCGTGGGGGTTTGGATCGCAAAGGGGCTGGTTTCGCTGCGCGCGTGGGGGGGCTGAAACGGTCTGTCGGGCCGGGTGGGAGGTGGGGGCTGCTCACCAAACTATGTGGAAAAAGCACCAGCCCTGGTTTAGCCTTGGGTGAGGTCCAGCCCAGTCTGGCCGAGTCCAGCCTCGTCCTCTTCAAGCTGGTTCAGTCTGGTGCCTCATGTGGCTAATGTCCAGAATGATTCATCGATGTCGATGTCAGTGCGCGGCATCCAACGATCCAGCGGTATCACCCCAGGGATGGTTCTTGCCCCTGCCAGCCACCCCAACCGATCTGTGGCTAGCCCAATCTCGTCATCTTTGGATCAGTGTGAACACCTCCACAGCTGGTCCAGGACGGCATGCCCACCGGTCATTTGCTCAGGATGGGCATTATCAGGATCAGTAACTTTGTGCCGCCCTGGCGGAGCAGCTGGATGAGAACCTATTGCTGGGTTGGGAAGGCTCTGACCTTGTACTTCTTGTAAGTATCGTCGCCCACTCAAGCCAACCTTCCAGTATCCCCCGCGGCCGTAAACTGCCGAACATGGGAACGGACCAGTCCACGTGCAGGATGGAAGCGGATACTACCGACCATGTTGCGGAGCGCCGCCAATGCAACGGACCGCAACGGGATCGACTTGCACTCATGCGGAAGACGGAACGCTGGAACGCGAAGGGACGGATAATGCAGTTGTCGCAGTGCGATTAATACCCCCGAGTGCTTGCCTGCTGCGAAAGTAACTGGAGAATCGTCCCAGCAAGGCTGGCCACGAAATACAGGAAGCGTGCAACTTGGGGCCGCTCCCACTGAGACACCTTCGGAAGAGGATGCCTGGCGGCCAAGTAAGCAAGAAGCAACGCAATTGGAGATTATTGCCAAAGATTCAGCGGATCGAAACGCCCCGAGATCATGTGCCACTCGCGGAGCTGGCTAATGCAATTCATCTGGAAAGAGGCCCCATCGGACAGATCCACAGGCAGCAGACGTTCAAGCGCCGTGCAAGCAGACGCCGGCGCCGATATCCAAGAGCTCGGCGTCGCTGTAGGCCAAGACGGATCGCCGAGGCCTCGGCTAAGCACGACGCACTCTGGAGGGGGGGGCCGACGGCGCCGCCGTGCGACGGCGCCGCCGTGGAACACGGCGAGCTGCTGACTCCGCAGTCTCACGGCGGCACGCCGTGTTCGCGGTCGGCTC